AGGGAAACAGATCTCCTCCACTTGTGCACACTTTCAGCCTGCTGTAAAGATTCAGCTTCTCAGACTTTACAGGAGCTCTTCTCTGCCTCTGAGCTACCTAACTTACTAGGTTTTAAATATTTCAAGTAATTTCTTGCTGCAGAATAGGGTTCCTTAATTATTTCATACCCATAGCAATCTGACTGCATAACACGTCTGGTAACTTTGCTGAATGAATAAGTATCACACACTGGGGGGTAACTACAAATCTGATGTACACAAGACAAACAGTAAGTGCTAAACAATTTGTGACAAGGACTGTTAACACTCAGCCTGGGCTCTCCCAGGAAACAGGATGCCAACGTTCAAGTAGTCCAAGGACACTGTCCTTGGCATTCTCTCTGCAGACAGCACTTTGTCCCAAGCATTATTACAGGGACTTGGGGCATTTTCTGTGGAGATGTGATTATTCATGGTGGAAAGAGTCAGAATTATACTCTTAGGGTTCTTAGGCTTTGTGCCTTTAATTAGAAAATGGCACATTTTTTTCCTACATAAAAACAAAAATTTGATTGCAAAGGGTAGTGTGTGTTAGAGAGCAGGAAGCACATATGGGTTTTTCAGGATGCCATAGTTCACACTGTATATAAGATTAGCCAATTTAAGGAAAAGATTACAGCATATGACTGTGCTTCCAGAAAGGAAAAAAAAAAATCTTATAGAAGAGATCCACCCAATCTGTTAGAGATACTTAAATATCATCATAAAGTACATTCTATAGCTAGTTAGAAGCCTAAATATAAAACCTCAAAAATGAAAGATCTCTCAGGTTGGATATTCAATATTTCAAATTACAGAAACTGAACATCATGCAGGCCTATTTCCTAGCATAATTTCTTCATGGGCCCTGTGCTTTCCTTATCTTCCCCGTTACATCACAGAGGAGGACAAACCAGTTTAAGTATCTAATTTAGACATCAACCAACATTCCTGACACACTTTTCTTTCCTACTTTTTGTTTACTGTTCTCTTCATACAGATAGGTGTAATGAAAGTTGGCTTCCATGACTTCAATTCTCTTACTGACAGTCTTTGATTCCTAACTTTCCCCTGTTTTATGGTTTCCAGTGGCACAAAGCTTCAGAGAATTTGTGCTTCATGTTCCACCTCGCTACGAAAAGTGAGAGCAAAAATTGCACTGGGGGCTTCTACACTAATATATGTCAATTAGATCAGCTGTGTTCTACCTCAAAATGCAAATATGATACTTCAGGGGAGAAAAAAACCAAACAAACAAACAAACAAACAAACAAAAAAAAACAAACAAAAAAAACAAAAACAAAAAACCACTTTTGAAGACCTATGTGAGAAGCTGCATCAGTCACATAATCCAGCTGCACCCCAGTGCTCTGACCTAAAAGTTTAACGATGAAGGAAGTGGAGGACAGACAGATACACACACACACAGTACAAGAGACAACAGTACTGAAATGTGTTTGCACAAATGGGCATCTGAAAGGTAGTAACAGAAGGACAGTTTTACACCGGTGTTACTTCAGGGTTATTCTACAGAATTAATGCAACAATCAGAAATCTGGAGTTAAACGTAGAAGTCAAGCTAAACTGAAAAACAAAGGCCCTTCATGAAACAAAATGTTGAAATCCAACACCTTATGTGAGTTTTCTTCCTCTGCCCTTAAAAGTGAACAGCACTGAGCTAAATTTCAATTATATAAATGAAATAAAATTTCTCTTTATGGCATGGCTCCAAATTTATGAACCAATTATTAAATTGAAAATTGGAATCATACAGAATTGATGATAGCATAGTGGATGAAGTCTAAACATTTCCTTACACAAGAAACTGAAATCCATTAAAATCTTGCTCAGAAAAGCCAGACCATGAACCGAATTTGAAAACCACATACTACAAAAGCAAAATAACAGAAAACACATAATTCAGATTTTGAAGATATGGGGGCTTTTCTGTGGTGGTGTCAAGATGTGCACAGAACCCACAAACAATCCACTAACATTTTAGGTAGTTCTTCTGGCTACAGGAGTGCACTGCAGAAATGTTGCACAAGCTTTTAGTGCCAGACACGAGTGGAACAAAGGCTTCCTCAACAAACTCAAGTAATTTCCTGGTGTAAAAGCATTTATCTAAAATTCACTACCGTTTTGACACTACCTCCAGAAGGTATTTTTTTCCATCTTTTTTGCCACCCCATTATTATAGAACCTTAGTGAATTAGCAATACTAGAAAGGAAGAGTTGAGGAAAACACTATTTTTATATTTTTTTCCCCCATATTTCTCTAGGTTTGCTCCAAGCAGTTGGAAAGTATATGTTTCAGAGTATCACAAGACCAGATGAGGAATATACTAACTATGAAGAAGAGCCACAAGCCTTAATGCTTCTACTTCACATGACTGGAAGTACATCCACCAAGCACGTGGTCAAAGTCATGCGACAAAAAACATTGGCATGTGAACAAAGATGCAAATCCAACCACACAATTGCAGTGGCTCAGAGGAAGGAAAAGTTTCAGAGTTCTAGGTAAAGAGGCAGCAGGAAATAGTGGCAGAGCACTGCCCTGCATCACTGTCTTACAATCTATCTGTTTGAACCTCAAAAACTTAAGATAAATGAAGAGAATTTATTAGGACTTAAGGCTAAGGATAAAAGGACTATTTTATTTTTTTTTTAGGCTGGAATAGGGCATAATGTAAGATGTTTATGGAGATTTTACTCTCACCAACTTCATAGCTGCCAGCAAGGCAAGTCAGGAAGGCTGTACTTCCTGACCTGTGATTGAAGCTTCCTGCAGACACTCCTGGAGCACGTACAGAAAGGGCAGCCAACAGGTTGGGAACACCCAGTGCACTTCACTTGTTTCTGGCACAAGAATGAAATACACATATTTTTGCCCTGTGGAGTTCTCTTTGCTTCCTGCCTGCTCCAGCTCCAGTGGGGATCACCACTGACTGAGCCAGTGCTCCAGAAGTCCTGTCTCTTCCCCACTTGGTCTTCCTGCATCAGCCCTCATCCACGCCTGTGGTCTCCTTCTGCTGCTTGCAATACAGTCCCATCTCCCCTCTGGTATTAAATATTGCTCCTCTTTTCCTCTTAGTCTTCTTCTTCAAAGAGACATCACCATCTTGTACCTGCCCTTATCATCCCTACACATGCTACTCCAACTGCCTGCCTTCCCTTCTCCCCCTTCCATCCACCTTTACGGGGGGAGGGTTGGTTGTGGATTTTTACAAGGCTGGTAGTTTTTAAAATTATTTAACTATTTAAAAATTACATGATTAGGCTACTATTTCCTTCTTCTCTCTCCGCTGTCCTGACAGAGTCTCAAGGACAGAGATTGCCCACCTGCACAGCCCATCCTCATTCTGCAACGGAACATTTTTTCACAGGGTGGGCATATAAACATCTGGGGATGCTCCTGAGCCACAGCAGCGAGAAGCAAGCCAGAGGAGGAACTGCAGGGCCAGTGACAGAGGCTGCAGCTCCTGCTCCCACTTTGGGAAACACTTCAGTTTCACGTGCTGGTAATACAACCACTTCCTTGCCGCATACTTCTCCAGGGCAAATTCATATGCATACTCTTTCTTCCCCAGCCTCTCTAGCTGTAACATTTTACAAGTCATTGTGAAATCAGAACTAAAAAGACCAGGTGATAATGGAAAGGAAGTGCACAACATGAAGGATAAGCCCAAACATGTCTGGTATCTTCAGCTGCACTGAAAACACTCCAGAGTTGTCAAAGAAACATGGGGGAAGGGAAAGAGAATTATGTACTGCCTGAAGGGTGCAGCACAAAGAGCAAGGTAAAATAGAAAGATACTTGTTACGTAGCTCCTGAGAAATGAAGCTGAGAGCAAAGCCTGCAAAACACTATGTGGAGAATTGTGCAGTGTGTTCCAAAAGTTACACCTCTTTCTGAGGAAACAGCACGTGTAAGAGATTTTTATGCACATTTCCTAAAGTACTGGTACCCTACAGAATCCTTTTCCACAGTGCATTTGAGATTTTTAGACAAAAACAAGAAAACAGTATCAAAGCAGAATCCACAAGCCTCTAATATTAAAGTTGCTATACAGAACTGAGCTCATATAAGAAACCAGCAATAGTTTCAGGGTTTAACTGTTCCATCAGTATTCACGTAATTCACAGCCATTTCCCCCACATAAATGTACTGCAATCATAATCACTTACTAAAGTCAAATAGGAACAGATCTATCTCAGAATTTTGGTGGAGCCAAATTCAACTGATTAGAAACACTGACCATTCATACAGATTATTTAATACCACACCAAAGCATGCATACTTGATGGGAATTAGAAAGCAGTGAAGGAAAGAAAGTTGGATGGGTCCTTAAAATCAGTGCAAAGCAGGACAAACAATAGCATATTATATGACATCACAAATCAAATTACTGAAGCCATGAAAGGTATTACACAAAGATCACTAAAAGAATTTTGTCATCTTATCTAAGAGTTACATATCGGAGATCTATTTAGAAGCTTACTTGAAACAAAGGTATAGAAATGGATGTAATTAACAAATCCATTGAGAAATTACTTTGGTAAGAATATTGGGGAAGGAAATTATTAGATAGAGTGTATGTGGCTGCACGTACCATGAATACCAGAGTATGTTGGGGCAATAAGACAATGCTGACAAAAACAATTTGTTAAATTAATTATACCTGGACCTCCTGTCAAAATTAGTGTCAATTAGATATGAATATTAATCTGTCTTTATTATGAGCACAAAGTACATTTGCTTATCATAAGTCTGCTGGACTTCTTATCAGGGGCTTCTCACCAAGCACTTGAAATGTTGCTTAGAATTCACAAAAAGTGCCATGAAACCAGGTCCAATCTACTTAAGCTTAAAATCCATATCAAGCTTTGATGGTTTTAGTATCACAACGAATATTCATAGATCTGTCATCTGTGTTTACATCAACATTTAATGTGAAATATAAAGTGACAGTATTACCTACCTGACTTTCCCAACTTCAGTTACTCTAGTCCTTTCTTTAAGCAGCAAGTTATTCAGTAAAGAGATCCCCAATACTGGAGAGCAAGGAAAAGAGAAAAAAACAACATAAGTGATCATGTATTACAGCACCTAATGCAAATTATTCACAATGAAGAGCAATGTAAGTTCATGTTTCCAGGAAGAAAACAGCTACCAAGGGGGAAGAGTCAAAAGTTTCTCCAACAGTTCTCTTTTGCAGAGCACCACAGATGTCAGAATGACAGAGCTACTTCCATATATGAATGAATTCAAGGATTAGAGGCTACCTTGTTCACAGCAGTGTTGGAAGAAACTTTCACTGACATAAATAATTTATATATATATATATATACATACATATGACAGTTATACAAAGTAAATAAGGAGCAAGGGTGCAAAAGCAGTAACTACTTAGCTCTGGTTGCTTTCTTTGCTAGGCTCAGACTTTAATATTGGCAGGAGCATGTGGAAAGGCCCTGAACCAGATATATATTCCAATTTTTTGTTATTGTTGTTGTTGCAAGATTAGCTAGGTAATCTTTCTTAATGATCAGACTTCAGATTACTGGTAATACCAGGTAGTTCAGGGAATAACTAGTTTGTACTAAGTCCCAGTAAAAATGTGTTGGCAGTTAAATCTCATGAAGTGTGTGAGGCTTAGCAAACAAGTTTGTTATTGAGTTATCATCCACGACATCTGTTACCAAGTTCAGCAGTTCTCAGTTAAAGGAAGGATGGATTACAAGTACTGCAGGCAATAACAGAAAGGAAACACATTCATAAGAGTTGGCTCTGAGACACAAGAAGAATCACTGTTACTTGAAGTGGTAGCAGATTATTTACTGCTGTTAAACCTGTATCCAAAAAAAAACCCCAAAACACAAACACAATAAATCAGAAAACAGCCTGTGTTTAGAGAGCATCCACCTGTAATGACAAACTGTCACGACACCATTCATATATCAGAAGTGGGCTTCAAAACAGACAGAAGCTGCACAGAAAGCTGAAAACCCCAAACAATCCAGTTCACACTTCAAATGTGCACGCAAAAATAAGGTAAATGCAGCAGCAAATTAGATTTTATGCATTTCCTGTGTTAGGAAGGGCAGTGTTTTTGTAGACTTTATTTTTAAAAAGAAGCAAAACAAACCCACAAACAAAAAGCCCCACCTCTCTGCTACACTTGAGATACCTGATGTTTTAATTTTCACGCTACATGGCAAGGCATTTGCTTGCTGACATTTACTGGGGTCTTGTTTGTCATAGTTCAGCCCTTCCTTGTTCACAACCTAGGGAACTGAGTCTTCTATTTTCTCTCAGACTGACATAAGACAGATTTAAAAAGGAAAATTAAGGGGTTTTTATCTTTACCTACATAGTCTTCAGAAAAGATTGTCAGAAAAATTATGGACCAGAAACAAAGAGCTAAGGCAGATGAGAGCAAGTAAAATAGACTACAAATGCAGAAAAATGCTAAAACAAAAGAAATATGTTGGGGAGGAAACAGCACTACATGTCAAGAACTCTGAGAACCTTTTTTATGAGGATAGAAATCTGGGTGTTCAAAAAACAAATACGTCACATGGATGGATTACTAAAAGAAACAGTACTAAGAAATGGCTATAACTGCCTTCAGGAAAATAATGTTTGATTATTGCACAGTCCTGACAGTGACACAAGGAGACTCTGCAGAAAGTATGAGATTCCAGTCTCCTTCCTTTGGCTAAGGAGTGAGACAACAGGTTTTTACTCTTTGTTTATTCTTAGTTACCTCAGAGTAATGAAGTGGAGACAAAAGCAAACTTTAATTAACAGAACAATAAGTTTAGCAGAGGTGCAGAGTTGCTGGATGAGGGCTGGAGAGCTACAGATCCCAAAGATGGGACATCTAGTTGGAGCAAAGCAACAGAGCACACAAGAAAAACACTTCAACAGCATGGTACTTGGGCTCCACATAAGCTATATAAACTACGTAAAATATTCAGAATACCTGTAAATAGAGATATGATGACTTTTTTTTTCCCCTCTGGTAAGACAACAATACCATAATAAGTTGTTCCTTGGACAAAACAACCGAGCAACCAGCTTAGAGCACATGATACCACACTGGTTGCTTAACAACCTCAATATGAAAGCAAACAAACCCCTTAATGCCAGCAACACAAACATGCACCTTGAGAGCAGGTGTCAATTTTGTAACTGAGTTGTCATTGAAAATTAGCTACCTTCCAGTTCAAGACTCTGTAGACAATATCTGATATATAGTTGTGAGAAACAACCAGTTTAACTGCAGTTAAGCAAAGACCTCCTCACTCAAATGCAATGCAACTGAAAGCAAAGTGGAGAAAGATCCATATTAGGAAATTTTACTAAGAGAAAATTGAGACAGTTCAGCATTATGAGATGTTAGCACCAAGAACACACTGATAGCATACGTAACATCCTGAACATGTAGAGACTGCAATTCTGTATAAACAATTTCAACATGTAACAAATGAGGTAAGGGTAAAAATAAGAGTATCTGTATTTACAACTTCTAAGACGAATGTCTTCCTCTACCCCTCTCCTTAAAGAAAATTAGACTAAGTATAGACTTATGGACTTTCCTAAATTGTAGCATTAGAAATCTAGGGCCATGATGTTAGAGCAGCAGGACAGAACAATGAAAGCCATCCTTGTACATAACATTTTGAAAAGTCTGTCACAAATGAGGTGATGTGGACCAGTGGTTGTAAGTTATCATGTCACAGCTATTTGGAGTCTCATGTGAATGAAGCCCACATCCCAGTGGAGAATTTAATGAACAAAACCATTTCTATAAGTGGTAGACTTTTGGCTTGAAAGGCTATTAAATGACAGCAGAGTGGAAAGAATGGCTGTTTGCAGGTACTGCCAAGGCACACTACTAATCAAGCCGTGCCCACTTTCTGTTAAGTCTGGACAGCTTATTGCAGATCTGCCCACATCACTCTTTCATTAAAAAAGTCAGTTAGAACTAGCAATTGTCTAAGTGTTATCATTTGCATGAGAATTTGAAGCTTTATGCCTGTCTGAAGCCTTGTTTTCAAGCCTGCGTTTCTAAGCAATAATTAAATTACTGATTTAACCAGTTACAAGAAATCACTAACGTCGCCACACTAGCAGGTCATTTTATCTTCATCCTGATATTATCTGGTCAGATGATTTCTTATTTGTCTTAGTCCATCACAGCTTAAAAGTCATATTAGCCTTTTTTTGAGGAGTTCACTACGAAACCTGTGTATGAAAACGGAGATGACAAGGTACAAATCAATATGGTAAATAAGACACAGGTTACCTTAGAAAGGTGAAATATCTACAGTGCTTCTACTGAGGAGACACACATTATTTTAGAGAACCTAAATGCCAAAAAAGTGTATTTTAATGGGGCAGCTACAGAAGCATCATAAGCATTAACAGACTTGAGAAAATTAATATTGTTATTCCTAAGTATCAGATTCAGAGAGGAAAATCATCAGTGTAGCCCCACAACATTTCCTAAGTTGTTTTCTAATTACACAAAACAGGCTGAAATTTGATACAGAACTTGAAAACGTTACACATGTAGAGTAAGCTTTAAAAATGCATTTGTGTCATAAGAAAAACTATTTTCTAAGCTAAAGAGACCATAAGTTTAAGGTACATGAACAACTAGTTAAGTAGCCTGCGAACATTCAGTCTTTTCCATTGAAAGAAAAAAAAGCAGTGAACTCTAGTAGTTTCACTGGTTTATCCATAAGAAAATGATAACCTAAATTTTATATTGGGTTTTACAGTCTTCATTATAACATCTAACCTTTTCATCCTTTTGCAAGCTATTAAAAACAGAAAGGGAAAAACACCAAGGACTAGTCTTGCACCTGCTAAGTAATGTTCACCCCCAGAGACATAAATAGTATATACACAGAGATTTACAACCATCCTCCTATTCGAGCCAATGGCAAAGTCACATACATACAGAAAATTAGAGTTAGTCAGTAAAGCACATTTTATTATTTCATTATGAAGCTTATAACTGTTCACATTCATTATGGCTCTATTAAATGAATTGGTGTACCAGAGTCAGGAAATGTCAGTGAGTTCAGAGCTGTGCATATTTGGCACCAAAAGAGCCATAAGGCACATAACATTAAAGGTAAGTTGAGAAACAAAAAAAATCATAAAAGTTCATTTTACTTTCTCCTATTCCTATCAGAGGGACATAAATCTGAAAATTAGAGTCCTTTACAGAACAAATTAGAGACAGAATTTACAGTTAGATATGTATTTAGGAGGAAGAAACTCTATTCACCAACTTAGCCTAGGAGAGGACTTGGGAGAGCAGCCTGCTTCAACTTATCTCTGAACACCTTTTCCCCACCTCAAACATTTTTTCCAAGAGATCCTTAGAAGAAAGCAAGACTAAGACATTTCAATCCTTTATAATGTTCTCATTTACCTCAGTTGGCATCCAGAAATCTCCCTGAGGACAAAAAAAGTGAAAAAATAAAATAATTCTTTTGGAAACCAGTAGGTGTCAGACACCTAGAAGACTGACCTCCAAGTCATGTTTATCTGTGCTGGTATCTGGCTTTCCTATTTCTTCTCTATTCCAGTGAAACTCCTTGGCTCATCAGTGACACACATGTCTACTTGGAAGATGAATGGACAATGCTGCATGAATACACTAAGGAGAAGACTGAAAGATACCTTGGTCAGAGGCTGGAAGCACAGAAATTCAGCTACATAAGGAGTGAAATGTTTTAATATTTCACTCTAATTAGACCAACTAAATTTTTAGTATGGAGACACTCAGTATGCATGACAGTGTTTGAAAGGCTAAGCCTTCCTAAAATGAAGGGAAAAGTATCTGTGCCCTAGTGCTTCTTTCTCAGATTATTACCATAAAGGCTTTCGATTTTTTTGTAAGGAAACAGTTGAAGGAGTCTAAGACTATCAGGAGTTTTGGTGGGAGGAAGGTGCATTTAGCATATTTTTCAGAAGCAGTTACTGTGTTTTCACAGCTGCCAATACAGACTTTGATAACCTGCCATGGCAG